GTGGCCACCAGACCACAACATGCTATGTCACCTTCAGAGGTCTTTGCAAAATTTGCCAAGACCCCTAAAGTGACAGATCTGTGTTAAGCTCTGTGGGGGTTTGTTTTTGTCTTTTTAGTATATTTTCTTTCTTGACTATATATCTAAAAACATCAGAGAGCTAAACTGTTTTTGGTTTTTTTCTGGTGGGAAAAAAGAGAAAATCACAGGACATTAGGTTCATCCTATGTACTGATAGTAGGGTTTTTGCTGAACAAAAAGTTATTTAAAGGTCTGTTACCCTAATAAACTGAATTTTTTGGACATTTCCCCCTTTTGACTTGGCAGGTGGGATTATGTGTGAGCACAGTGTAATGGGATTAGCAGCGATATCTCAGCCCTTTGGTTTCTGGGGCACTCTTCACAGACATTAAGACCATCCTCGAATGCGGCATTCTAAGGTCTTCCTTATATCAGGAGTTGAATGTAGTTTCTAATTTAATTACGATAATCTCATTTTAATAGGAGTAAGCCTATGAAATGAATAAATGATTAGGATGGAAAGAGCTTAGGATCAGTGACATGGTGAATGCTCCATATGGCGGCATTTGTGCAGTATGTACAATGGTCACAAGCATGAAAAAAAAACTAGTTTTAAAATAAAAGCGCTCGTCAGATTAACGGCTTCATTCCCATAACTAATAGGTACAGTGTTCAGTGAGACAATACAAAATGAAGATTAACAATCTGCCTGCCAGAATAGTTAATAGTAACACACATTTTATTGTTTTATCAGACAATCAGATTGAATGTAATTTCATATTTGCAAAAAAGATATTTAAGTATACAAAGGCAGCCTGTGTATATGTGATGGCATAGCCATATTATCCATAAAGTGCCTGGGGTCCAGTTCACCATGAAGAAAAGCTTGACCCCATTCAGCATCCATATATGAAGATAGAAGGGGGGACAAATTAGTGAACTAGCTTGGACCATATTGGTTCTTAATCCTGCATGATGAACATGGAAATTTCCAGAAGTTGTTGTGGTTAAAGGGTTACCCCAAGCACCATGACTACTTCAGTAATATAAAGTGGTCATGGTGCCTGGAGCCTCTATATATTCAGAGTTTCTATTTGGAAAACTGCACATATATTGATCAACCCCTTTGCTGCTGGAGTGTTATCACCCAGCCTGGAATTAGAATTACAAGCATGATAATCAATTCTATGGAACAATGTCAGTCAACTGACACCATCAGCCAGAGAATGTCAACTGCCGCACCTTCTGGATTCTGCAGCTCTATAGAAGCCATTAAGTGCATTACTAGACCACCAAGGAACGTCAGAGGCTAGGGTAAGTGGGCATTCAGTTGCTAAACAGGTTACGTCATTGGGAACCGGGCCAAAGTACTACTGGCATCATAAACACTACAGCTTCGGTAGTAGCTTAAGGGAGTAACCATTTAAAGGACCATTATAGTGCCAGGAAAACATACTTGTTTTCCTGGCACTATAATGCCCTGAGGGTACCCCCACCCTCAGGGTCCCACTCCCGTGGGGCTGGTATTCAGTGCTACTCCTGTAACCAGAATAAGGGGTATGGTATGGAAATATGGCTGTTTTTTTTGGTGGAGGCAAATAAGCGGTTTTAATGGACAAGTGTTCTGCCCAGTCATGTGGACTGTATCTCCTGTCTAATCGATAGGTAGGAAGAAAAAAAAAGACGATTGATGGCTAAGGGACAACCAGTAAAAAAAAAAAAAAAATTATATTCACAGATAAAATGACAACTGACCAATAGCGGGGAAAAAGGAGGAGAAACATAGAAACATAGAATGTGACGGCAGATAAGAACCATTCGGCCCATCTAGTCTGCCCAATTTTCTAAATACTTTCATTAGTCCCTAGCCTTATCTTATAGTTAGGATAGCCTTATGCCTATCCCACGCATGCTTAAACTCCTTTACTGTGTTAACCTCTACCACTTCAGCTGGAAGGCTATTCCATGCATCCACTACCCTCTCAGTAAAGTAATACTTCCTGATATTATTTTTAAACCTTTGTCCCTCTAATTTAAGACTATGTCCTCTTGTTGTGGTAGTTTTTCTTCTTTTAAATATAGTCTCCTCCTTTACTGTGTTGATTCCCTTTATATATTTAAATGTTTCTATCATATCCCCCCTGTCTCGTCTTTCCTCCAAGCTATACATGTTAAGATCCTTTAACCTTTCCTGGTAAGTTTTATCCCGCAATCCATGAACCAGTTTAGTAGCCCTTCTCTGAACCCTCTCTAAGGTATCAATATCCTTTTGAAGATACGGTCTCCAGTACTGTGTACAATACTCCAAGTGAGGTCTCACCAGTGTTCTGTATAATGGCATGAGCACTTCCCTCTGAGCAGTAAACAATCTATACTTCCAAGCTAGATACTGAAACTGCAGGTGTTAAGGAAGGCAGACCAGTGTGTTTTGTTTATTTTTACCCCTGCTGTGTCTGTGTGGGATTTGGAGATAGCTCAAGTCAGTGATTTCAGTTTGAGACTAGGGTTAGCTTACTGCTGTGTTCAGCTGTTAGCTACTGCCAGGGGCACTTGAAAGGGAGAGATGGGATTTATTGTAATTTTATCATTGATTGACGTTTTTAAAGTTTTTTTTTTTTTTTTTACTGTCTATAGAAAGTCATGGTTTTGGGGTGTAAGGGTGTTCAGTAAAAATTAAAAAAACATGTTTCTCACACTTTGAGTGCTGCAAATAGCCTGCTTCATTCATTTATCCGTGTTGTTTATGGTTAGTAGAGAGTAGCACATCTTGCCACTGCCACTTACCACATCTTGGAAGCACTTTACAGTATGACAGGTTTTTTTTTTCCCTTTTGGTTAAGTGTCCAATCAGCCTCAGGAAAATGTGAATATTTCCCAAGAAGCATCTAAGGGAGACCACAGTAACTTCTTTGTGGGAGTCATCAGAGCCACCAATAGTCTTTTGAGTAGACTTGGCAATCCATTGATGGTGATGATTAATCCAGTGTTTCCTCCACCACTGTGACAGCACTTTTACCTCTGGGCAAGTTGCTACTCAATTGTGAATATGATGAGTCAGAGGAATTAGAAGAAAAAACTGTGTTGAGGAAGTCCATCAGATCTGTATTACTGACGGAAGAGGCAGAACAAACTACAAGGGCTACAGGTTTCCTGATGCTATAACTGATTTTGAACAGTTGTCGCAAGCTACTACCAGCACTCCCCTCCACCACTACTACCAGCACTCTTAAGCAGCGCAGGGGGAAGATGAGGATTCTTATACAACACGCAGAAAAGATTTTTGTGTGTAAAAAAGGCGCCTGTATCAAGTTAAAGTCAAAAATAATATTTTATTAGCAGCTATAGCACTCTGTGGGTACCCCTATTGAACCATTGGATTCAAGCAGTGAAAAAACGCACAAAAAGTGCTCTACAAGGTTTGTGAACTTCCACCCTCCTTTTTTTTCAAGAGACTAAAGTGTACAGTGCAGCGCTGAAAAATGAAAATCCGTCATACAAACAGATCAGAGCTTGCTATAAAATTATGCAGCATGAATTGTTTTATATACATAGAAAGGAAACAAAAATACACAATAGTGAAATATTGTTTAAATAAATAGAGTATTTTAAATGAGCCTTTAAAACGTTTTGTCTCTGAACGTGCTAGCTTTCTATGTCTTTCTGGTGGTGACAGTAGCCTCCTTCTGTATGTCTTTTTGAAGTCTCCAGTGGAATATGTATAAGACAGAAAGCATAACGTGCAGATGACTCTAGATCAGCTGTATAATCTGTACATATGGCTGATTGCTCACCTTGTACAGGAGCCCATAGAATACTGTCTCCAAGTTTTAGCACGTTCTTGAGTGGCAAAACCCCCTTTTACCCAAGTTTGGAGATAAAGAATGCTATGCCAGGAAGACTTAGCGATAAAATAAAATGTACCTTGTAATATGCAAATAACAAAAATCTTACCATTTGAGGACTAAAAATAGGTATATCACAAAGTCCTTGAGTTCTCCAAGACGCGTTTTGCCTGGTATCTGGGCTCTCAATCGGTGCATTCTTCCATTTTTTTCCCCTTTTTCAGGGGATGTCCCATGTTTTTTCATCCAATTGGATACTCGTTTCGCAAGGGGCGCAATCCGGCAGGTGATTCAAATCCTTGTTCATGCGTACCTCTCATCACGTTCGTGTGGAAGGAGGAAGTGACGTATTGAGCTAAGGAGAAACTCCTGATAATTTTTGGAGTATTAGTTTACCGGATCTGCTTTCTGTGTAATTCTGAACTACTAAGTCCACAAGTCTTTGTGCTTGTAAGTGCTCGAGTCCATTTCAAAGAACAAACATATTGAGAAGCACAAGAAGGGTAAGGGTGGGGGGGGGTGCAGAGCAGAAGGGTAAGGGTGGGTGGGGTGGGGGGTTGGGTGGGGTGGGGGCAGAGCAGAAGGGGGGGGGGGGGGGGGGGGCAGAGCAAAAGGTTAAATCTTAATCATCTGTCAGTGCTGTACATGATTTTAGACTATTTTTTAAAACATTTTTAACCTACATCATATTTACTAATTCATTGCAAAGTCCACTGCCCCCCCCCTTTCCCCACTCTTTCCTTATTTGTTCCCCTCTGCATCTAATACACACAAACACACTCTGCATTCACTGTACACACACTACATTCACTACACACACACACAAACTGTATCCACTACACACACTGCATCTAATAGATACAAACACTAGAACCATTACACAAATGTGCAATCTGCACCCAGTATACACACTGCATCCATTACATACACCACATCCACTTTACACACACACACACACACACACACACACTCTGCATCCTTGTGGAATTGGCCCTGTGGGCAGATTTGGGGGCGGGTCGTAAAATTTCTGATGGCAAGCCTGAGTAGTAGTAATGTTCCAAGCAGGGTACATTGAAGATGAAGCATCTGTTATCAAAGCCATTTGTTTAACTGTGTTCTGTGTCAAAGCACTGTGCCTTAGAGTTTATTATTGCTGTTTGTAGTCTGACACAATAATGTTACAGTAGTAGTAAATACACCAAGCGGCAACCCATCTTACAACACAAATATGAGTCAGGGTGAAATCACTGCAATGATGGGCATTTTAAAAAAGGGGGATCAGTACCTCTTCCACTACTACAACCCTTAGAAAGAATAGGAGAGATATTGAAGATAATGTTAGTCATCGGCAGAGGCAGGTTGGACCAGGACATTTGGACTCCTCATCATCCCAGGGAAGTGTCCACGAGCCCACTCTTGGACATTTTGGACTTTCACTTGCAATTCACTTATCTTCGGCCTCCAGTTAATTGATAAATCTCCATTTCAGCTGATTGATTCAGATGCGGATATTAGTGATTTTATGAATGCAAATAATTGAATGTTACAAAATAGGTCGGAAAGTCTGAGTTCTGACTGCATTTGGCCTTATAACAACCTGTAAATCTGCATATTGACAATTAGGTCAAAATTTATCATTGGATTTTGAGCTTTTTAGTGAATATCCCTGTAACAGTTTAAAACGGCACTGTCATTCCGAACTTACTTTTCCCCAATCGCTTCCTCTCTCCGGATCTGTTATTCTTTTCTCCCTATCTGATCTATTTTTCATTAAAACATAAGATAAAGTATGGACTACTTTGGCTTATGTATTTTTCCTACGCATGACCAGCTTTGACCCAAGGAGGAGCTTAAGTCAGCTCCATTTCCATAATATTCACCCTCACCGTGATCTCGCTTTGCTTAATTCGCCATTCGAACGCCAGAGAAACTATCGAATTTCTTCCTAACAGTATGAGTACAGTTTGTCCATTCGTGTTAGAATGCTAGTCAGTACTTTATATTTTGGATCTGAAGTTCATTCAAATTAATGAAATTCTGATTCTATTCGTACCACAGCTGCATCTTAGTGATGTCACAGGTTGTCAGTGCACAGTATTCAGTCATACCCGGTGATGTTGTTGGGTGTCTAACACAGCGGGAATGTAATGATGATACAGGATGTCATTACAGTGTTCACATTGCAACTACAATATATTATTTTATGGCTTGTCTTACTGCAGAACTAAAAATGCATATAGCTGTTCAGTCCCACGCTGCAAACTCCTTCCTGTGTGGTCCCTGAATCTCTCATAATGATGTCACTGCAGTCATGTCACAGGATGTCTGTGCTCATCAGTAATCCTCATGGTGACATCACAGAATATCTGTGCACAGTGGACCCCTCTTAGTGATGTTATATGATATTGGTACAGATCAGACTCCCCTCACTGTGATGTTGCAGGTTGTCAGAGTATGTGGGGGACACTCCAACAACAAAATATTATTCTAGGATGTGTTCTTATCCTGCATAAGACCAAGGACCGTTTTAAAATTTCAGACCCTGTGAAGATTTTGGAGAAATTATCTGTACCTAAATATAATTACAGAAATTGTAGTTGTTGTGTTTTTTTGTTTTCTATTTTTGTAACCCTAGATTCCCTTTCCTGTGCTCCTTGTGGTTTATCCCTGCTGTTCTAGCCTTTAACCCGAACTCCTGAGCCCTTCTTTCCTACAGGAGGATTTAAAGTGAATACAGTATCTCTTGACTGTGTTACAAACTGACATGTCATGTTCTCGGTTGCAATTACAGTATTAAAAGCAAACATCACAGCAGTATGTTCGAGCTTCACAACGTGAGGCTAAAGTGCTGTGTAACACTGCAGCGTGTAAAATGAATACATTAATTAAATGCAATATTCTGCAGTGTTGTGATAACAGAACGCTCTCCTCTGAGCCTATTCTTAACTGGGCCTAAACAAATGTGCGTTTTGTGATCAGTCATTCTCAAATTATTACCAAGGGCTTTCAAGCATAGATTATAAGGGTAGATAAGAACCACTACTCCAATGTAATCTGACCATGTTCTTATCAAACGTAAAGCTGATGCTTATTGTACGTTATATTCAATAACCATGTGCATGTACTATACATTCCTTAATCCCTTGAAGGGTCATTGAAGCAAAAAATAAATCTATGTAAAATCCCCCTTTAAGATCTTCGTTGTAACCCCAAACATTTATGGGTATGAAAGCATGGTTTGGAAGGGCCTTGATTGTGATAGTAGCAGGATTATTCACTAAAGTTTGCATTCAAAGTGAATTTAAACTGAATTTCAAATTCAATGCCAAAATAGACCAAATGGACATATTCTCCAAGTTAGCTATGCTTACAGTTTAAAGAAACCCAAATATGTATTCCTAAAGCTATAGAGCCCTAGTCACCTAAATGGTGACTAGGGCCCCATTCCAAGGCGAATAAATGGTTATTTAACCATTTATTTGCTTACCTTAATCCAGCACCGGGCTCCCTCGGCACTGGTGACCTCACCTTCTCCATCGACGTCAGCTCCTGAGTGAAGCCGAATGTGCATACGCGGCCAGAGGTGCACGCGTATTCAAACCCGCCCATAGTAAAACATTACTCAATGCTTTCCTATGGGGATCTTTTTTGATGCTGAAGGTCCATGAAGATGTCCAGTGTCAAATAAGTGCGATTTACTCCATGTAAATCACGGAAGCAGCCTCTAGTGGCTGTCAGGGAGACAGCCACTAGAGGCTGGATTAATCACAGCTGTCCGAGCACGCCAGACTACAGTGTTATACAGGTGGAGGGAAGTGCTCCCTCGCAGCTCAATAACCCAAAAATCGATCTCTACAGACATTACACTGTCTCTTATATAAAAATCTCTACCACGTACCCAAACATCTGTACGTTCACACTCCAACGGATTTGGTGGACATCTAGCCCACAATTTTATTGTTCCAACTCCAGAAGACTTACAATTATATTGGGCTACTTTATCACACATAAGAATCTGAGACCGACAGAACTATCGGGCATTCGGCCCCAATCTACAAAATCAGGTCGGACTCCTATTGACATTTCTTGTTCGTTTTTTTTTGTTTTTTTTTCTGCTTACTATAAACATTATATTTTTATTTTACCTCACTTTTTATTTTAATTTATTTTTAATTTTTTATTCTGTATTTTCTTTTTGTATTTTTTCTACTTTTTTCTTTTAAATCCCATTTACTACTTTTTCACCTCAATGCTTTTAATTTTATTTTTCCCACTCTGTATTTGGGAGCCCAAAAGTGTGTGCACACTCAGACCCCAGTTATAATGGTACCAGCAACCTACTTGCTTTTTTAAATATACGTTGTATTAATTAATTTCAACATTGTGTATATCTATTTTATGATGCAATTAGATCCAATAAATTCTTAATTATATAGATTTTATGTGCAAGAATTTTATGTATATGTACATCACGTTTGCACTTTCTTTCTTGCTAATTGGTATATATAGAGGCTAGATTAACCCTGCAGTGTAAACCTAGCCGTTTCTCTGAAACAGCTATGTTTTTAGCTGAAGGGTTAAAACTAGGGAGACCTTGCACCCACACCACTTCATTGAGCTGAAGTGGTCTGGGTCCCTTTAGTGGTCCACTAAAACTAATGCACCTCTAATTGTTTTAATAGTTTATTGTGAGAGCTAAAATGTTCAAATAGATGGAAGGAGGCAAACTTGTATAAAGATGTTCTTCACCAAAAAAAATACTGTGAAAAAAATAACTGAACTAGTAGTCCAGCTCTTAGAGAACTGTCTGATATACACAGAGATTATTTAGAACGCTAAGGTTTGTAGGAGTTAAACAGACTGTTATAATTTTTAAGAGGTTGTGTGTGATGATTTGCGCGTTGGAATAAATCTAGACAGGTTTATAAGCTGAGGGTCCTTATACTTTTCTTCATGTCTTTATACATGCAGCTGTCTCTTTATAAAGATTTGTATATTAGAAACATTCATAATAAATGGCTTCCTTCTATTGGTAGAGACGATAAATACTACAGTGCACTGTAGTCGAGGCCAGCCCAAGACATTGTGTTGCCTGGATCCAAGGATGAAATGCTGCCCCCAATCCTCAACGAAATCACGCCCACATTCATTACGTTATATCATGATAATTAAAATTGAAATGAAACTGATCACGATCATGATTAGATAAATACATTCCAGTAACATATGTAGGGCAATGCACGCTAATTTAGATTTCACTTTATATGCTTCTGCAATGGTATGCAGTGAGTCAAGGGGGTGGTGTCTGTGTGAGTGTTTTTGGATGCAATGTTTTTGCTGTGGATGTTTGTATGTGTGTTTGTGATGTTGATGTGGTGTGTATCTGTGTGTGCTGGGGATGAAGTGATGTTGATGCAGTGCCTCTGTGTGTGTGTTGGGAATTGGCTTTGTGCAGTACACTGTGCATGCACAGCAGCCAATCATGACACTTGCCCTTGTTTTTTCTGCCGTGGTGTGCCTCTGCTGGCTCAGTCAATCATTTTGGCAACATTAAAGGACCACTATAGTGCCAGGAAAACATACTCGTTTTCCTGGCACTATAGTTCCCTGAGGGTGCCCCCACCCTCAGGGACCCCCTCCCGCCCGGCTCTGGAAGGGGGAAAGGGTTAAAAACTTACCTTTTTCCAGCGCTGGGCGGAGAGCTCTCCTCCTTCTCTCCTCCTCCGTTCCTCCTCCTGGGCTGAAT